AACCTTTGCGACCAGATTGACCTCACATTTTTTGACAGCCTACAATACCTTATCTAGGGAGACTACCGTACCAAACTGACATGCTGAAAGCGTATATTTCGCTCATACACAAAGAAGGGAAGGATCCGGCTCAGTGTGGGAATTATTGTCTGATTGCTCTCCTAAACGTGGATCTTAAACTCTTTACAAAAATCCTGGCAAACAGGCTGTTTACCTCATATCGCACAATTGATGCATTTTGATCAGGCTGGGTTTGCCCCTACCCGGGAGGCAAGAGATAATACCACATGGGTTTTTAATATCATCCATAGTGTTCAGGTCCTTCAATATCAGTTTATGTTGCTTTCTACTGATGCAGAGAAGGCTTTTGACAGGGTGGCTTGGCACTTTATCTAGACCAATTGTGGATTCCGAGGCCCATAGCCTTTGCTCCTCTTTCACCTTTCAGTGGGCGGGCAAATCCATACAATATCTGGGCTTAAACATCACTCCTGATCTTGCTTCTTTATACTCGGCAAACCTGCTTCAGCATTGGCATTCCTTGGCCTTGACTTGGTTTGGGCAATGCAATGCCTTAAGAATGACAGTTCTTCCGTGGATCCTCTATATTTTACAAGCCATGCCCGTTTGTGTTTCCATCGTTTTTTTTCCAGAAACTGCGTTCCCTATTCAGGGACTATGTATGGTTTCACAAATCTCCAAGGATAAGCCTGCAGCTTCTCTCTCTGCCCAAGGTGAGAGAGGGCTTTGGCTTTCCCGATGCCCTCAGATACTATAGAGCTGTACACCTGTCACGTACCTGATGGGAGACTGAATTGACAAGGTCGGCCTCACTTGTGTCACTAGCCCTGACCCCGCTGAGGTTGGAACAGAGGGAGTCTAGGGACCAGGGGGACAAGAGCGCCAGTGGTTGTTGCTCACGGCTCTTGCAGATGATGACCTTGGTAGGCAGAGTATCCTCTGATTTGGGCACCGTAGAAATAGACCAGGCAGGTTCTGTGGATTGCCAGATGTGCAGCAGAGCAAGGTAGGTAGCCAGGACACAGGACTGGGGCAAGGAGTCAAGGATAGCCAGGGTCATAAACAGTTGGGCAGCGCGGTACAGAATCAGAAGGAAAAGCCAAAGTCAGGAGCAGAGCCGAAGTCAGGAACCAGGAGAGTAATCAGAGTAGGGTCAGGAACAAGCCGGGTCAGCAACAAAGGAATCGTACAGGAGCAAGCAGGACACGGGGGGAGCTGAAGACCAGTCAGCACTGAACCAGAGCAGAGGCACTCCTTAAATGGGCCGTCTGGCGCCAATCTTCGCCATGCATGTGCACGTGCGCGTGCGCATGCTCGATCGCACATTCCTGCGCGCATGCGCACAACCGGCAATTCTTCTGCGAGAATTCCTATGCGCATGCGCGTTCCCGGTCGCGATTCTTCTTGCCGGAAATCCCTTACATTGCCCCCCCCCCCCTTAGGGGCAGCCTCCGGATGCCCACTAGGGCTCGTTTCTCAGGGTGCAGATGGAGATAGGCTTGAACTATCCTCGGGGCATGGACATCGGTGGATGGTTCCCAGGAGTCATCCTCTGGTCCATAACCTTTCCATTTGATGAGGAACTGGGTCTGTCCGCCCCTCTTCCTACAATTCAAGATAGCCTCAACCTCGTATTCTTCATTTCCCTCAACCAGCAGTGGAGCAGGCGCCTCCGAATTCCGGTTGGGAAACCCACTTGGGATATGTGGTTTTAACAAGGAGCAGTAGAATACTGGGTGAATCTTCATGTTAGCAGGTATTTCCAATTCAAAAGCCACAGGGTTCACCTTTCTCTTGATGGTAAATGGTCCCAAGTATCTTGGACCAAGCTTCCTTGACGGACAACTTAATTTCAGATGAGCCGTGGATAGCCAGACTTTATCCCCTTGTTTCAGTTTCAAGTTGCCCCTTTTCTTCCTGTCACAAAATTTCTTGTTGCTCGCCTGAGCTTCAGAAATCGTCTTTTGTAATACTTCGCCCTTCCTCCTGAGGAACTCCATCCTCTCTTGTACTGCCAGAACAGCAGCCTCCACTGGTATTTCCGGAAGAAAGGAGGGATGGTATCCATAGTTAGAGTAAAAGGGAGATTGCTTGGTGGCGGAATGGATGGAATTATTGTACGCAAAGCAAGGAAGTCTTAACAAACTGTCTGCTGTAGGTGTCAAATATGGTAGATACACCACATTCTTTATTATTTTATGTATTACTGTATTTACAACTTACTGACCATGTAAATGTGTCAGGAGCTAGAAATGTAATAATTTAGCAGGTGTTCCTCAAGACATGAGAATTATTTCAAGGGTTCTTCTGCATTAAAAGGGTTGAGAAAGGCTGCAATAGAGACTAAGTAAGCATTATATATTTTAGCAAGGAATAGGGAATAGGGATAAATTGTACAGACTATAGTCTGAATATTACACTGTTTTTTGGGGGCATGTTCATTAGACTCTTTCCAGGGAACATCTATATCCTGACTCCTTGTGGGGTTTGTGCTGACCATTGGTGGTCGTCTCCATCTGATGCTGTTTTGTGGGTGTGATTGCACCCATGGTCTTTGTGCTAGGTCTGTTGTTAGTGGCACTGGACTCATGGATTTGGGCTGTTTGCCACTTCTGGGGTCTGGCGCCACTTGCATTCTGGCGTGGAGCACTCCAGGACATGGGCTGGATGTGACATTGGAGTTGCTTGCTGCATCACTTTCATTTTGCTGGACTTCCATGGTAGCTGAGTTCTAGCAGGATGACATGCCAGCCTCAACCCCGTTTGTCAGCCCCACTATTGGCTGGAGCCTCTATGCTCCATCTACAGGAGGCTCCATCTACATGTGTGACGCTATTTTGGACTATATGTGCATGCCAGGACATCAGCTGCATATATGGCGCACTTATGGATGTGGAGTCTCTGTGTCATACTTTTGGATGTTATGTTTTTGGAAGAACAGATGCTGACATATAGATGCTTTCATTACGTTGCAGTGATTGGTACTTTTATTTCTTTTTGGCCTTTTTGGAAGTGCTAACCGATGGCCTAAATGTTTGGATTATCCTGATGCAAATGGAAGGGGGCCTTCTTTTGAGGTAAGCTGGTGATCATATGGTCTTTATTTGCCTTTCCATTTATATATATATAATCAGTGTTCACTGGTAGACAATCTTGCAGTCTATATTTGATTATAGTGGATCACTATTTAGATTAATTCTCATGGACATATCTCTATAAATCTGATTTGATGTAGTCAGGAGACTCTTATGTGGTTGGCCCTATTAGCGGCAATAGCTTTCTGATATACATATATTTATTTTTTTATGAGTGGCCATAGTATGGTTCCTTTTTGATCTTTTTCTAGTTCACCCTATTTTCTTGTTGGTGGTCTTACCAGACTTGTTTGGATAAACCTCCCCACCTCTTTACCATGTTAAGGTGTATATGTAAGCGAATCAGAGATCTTATATTGACAGGTACATACACTATATTGCCAAAAGTACTGGGACACCCTTCCAAATCATTGGATTCAGATGTTTCAATCACCTCCATGGCCACAGGTGTATAAAATCAAGCAAATAGGCATGCAAACTGCTTCTACAAACATTTGTGAAAGAATAGGTCTCTCTCAGGAGCTCAGTGAACTCAAGCGTGGTACCATAATAGGTTGCCACCTGTGCAATAAGTCCATCCGTGAAATTTCCTTGCTACTAAATATTCCACGGTCAACTGTTAGTAGTATTATAACAAAGTGGAAGCAACTGGGAACAACAGCGACTCAGCCACGAAGTGGTAGCCCACATAAAATGACAGACAGTGCATGCTGAAGTGCACAGTGCGCAGAAGTTGCCAACTGTCTGCAGAGTCAATAGCTAAAGACCTCCAAACTTCATGTGGCCTTCAGATTAGCACAACAACAGTGCAAAGAGAGCTTCATGGAATTTGTTTCCATGGCCGAACAGATGCATTCAAGTCTTACAATACCAAGTGTAATGCAAAGCGTCGGATGCAATGGTGTAAAGCACACCGGCACTGGACTCTAGAGCAGTGGAGACGTGTTCTCTAGAGTGACAAATCATGCTTCTCTGTCTTGCAATCTGATGGACGTGTTTGGGTTTGGCGGTTGCCAGGAGAACGGTACTTGCCTGACTGCATTGTGCTAAGTGTAAAGTTTGGTGGAGGGGGATTATGGGGAGATTATGGTGTGGGGTTGTTTCTTCAGGGGTTGGGCTTGGCCCCTTAGTTCCAGTGAAGGGAACTCCTAAGGCGCCAGCATACCAAGACATTTTAGCCAATTTCCTAACTTTGTGGGAACATTTTGGGGATGGCCCCTTCCTGTTCCAACATGACTGCACATCAGTGCACAAAGCAAGGTCCATAAAGACATGGATGAGAGGAGTTTGGGGTGGAGGAACTTAACTGGCTTACACAGAGTCCTGACCTCAACTCGATAGAACATCTTTGGGATGAATTAGAGCAGATACTGCGAGCCAGGCCTCCTCGTCCAACATCAGTGCCTGACCTCACAAATGTGCTTCTGGAAGAATGGTCAAACCTTCCCATAGACACACTCCTAAACCTTGTGGACAGCCTTCCCAGAAGAGTTGAAGCTGTTATAGCTGCAAAGGGTGGGCCAACTCCATGTTGATCCCTACGAACTAAGACTAGGATGCCATTAAAGTTCATGTGCATGTAAGGGCAGGCGTCCCAATACTTTTGGCAATATAGTGTGTATTTTTGCAAGTGGGAATAGGAATAAATTGTACAGACTATAGTCTGCATGTCACATATACATTTCAATCCCTGGTAAACTACAACACATTTTATTGTTTAACCACCTCCCGCTCGCCATATAGTAATATGACGGACACAAAGTGGTTCTCTCGTTCTGGGAGGACGTTCATATGACGTCCTCCCATTCTCACCGTGCATGCGTGGCTCAGGGAGCGCACAGCGCGGCGATCGGCGGTGCGCTGTGTCCCTCGGACACAGCGGATCACCGATCATGGAAAGAGCCGAAGATGTTGGCTCGGTCATGTGATCAGCTGTCCAATCACAGCTGATCACATGTAAACAGGGAAATGCCAGTTATCGGCACGCTAACAGCTCGAGAGGAGAGGAGAGCCGGTAATGGCTTTCCGCGGAGGGGACATGTACACTGATCATCAGGGCACTGATGATCAGTGTGCCCTGATGATCAGTGTAGCCCCAGCAGCGCCACCTGTCAGTGTCCATCAGTGCCTTGTGTCAGTGCTCATCAGTGCCTCGTGCCAGTACCCATCAGTGCCACATCAATGCCACATATCAGTGCCTACCAGTGCCCATCAATGCCACATATCAGTGCCCATCTGAGCTGCCTTTCAGTGTCACCCATCAGTGCCAGTCAGTGCCACCTATCAATGCCAATCAGTGCCACCTATCAGTGCCAGTCAGTGCCGCCTATCAGTGGCAGTCAGTGCCGCCTATCAGTGCCCATCAGTGCCACCTATCAGTGTCCATCAGTGCAGCCTATCAGTGCCCATCACTGCAGCCTCATTAGCGAATATCAGTGAAGGAGAAAAATCACTTATTTACAAAATGTTATAACAAAAACTAAGAAAAAACTTTTTTTTTTTTTCAAAATTTTCAGTGGTTTTTGGTTTGTTTAAGAAAAAATAAAAAACCCAGAGGTGATTAAATACCACCAAAAGAAAGCTCTATCTGTCACAAAAAAGAATAAAAATTTCATATGGGTACAGTGTTGCATGACTGCGCAATTTTCATTCAAAGTGCGACAGCGTTGAAAGCTGGAAATTGGCCTGGGCAGGAAGGGGGCATAAGTGCCCTGTAGGCTAGTGGTTAAGTAGCAGAACTAACCTTGGGTCCCTGGATTGTAAATGCTTAGATATACTATAAGTATGCATGTTTTTTTTATTAATGACATCTTGTTCAGTGAAACACTTGCTCCTTTTCCTCCCTTCATTTTTGTTGTTTTTGTGTGATAATGAGGATCTTGAGCAGTGGAAGTCACTATATCACTCACAAGAGAAACCTACTGTATACAGCACTTCCCTCATAGTTGCAGGTGAGGCATCCACAGAAAGGGCATCCAAACAGTACACTATGTAAATCCTCTCTAATTTACAGCATGCTAATTGGAACTGGACCAAGCCATGAGATACAATAAGATTAATGATTCATGATTTTGCAGTAGTGTTATCATTCAGCATGTATCAGATATACCTCCGACAGCCTGACAGCTCTATGTAATGATTGTTAGTCTTATTTATATATTCAAAACTATTGACTTTGCTGTAGACTCACTTAAAAACATTCCAAAATGTTAATGTTGTAAAGTCTGTGAAAAAATGTTGACCGCCCACATAATATAGGTTGTTTGCAATGTTTCAAGACCAGAAATAAGTATAAATTTTTACAAGGTGTGTAAGAAATCCTTGCAATATGCTGTAGGTTCATTACTTTGAAGTCCAAACCACTTCCCAACTGGTAATAGTATATACATCCTCAGTTGGGAAATGGAATACCGTAGTTATGGCTGCAGCAATGTGCCATATCCCCGGTATTGTTTTTTTTCTGCTAGCAATTCACTTTCTCCTGAAAAGTGGCCTGAGCAGCAGATTTGCCTCTAGATCCCTTTTAGGAGCAGCAGGAAGGGAGCCCCCCAGCCATTTTACGGTGGTTCTCGGGCTTACCTGGAAGATCTGTGAGCCCGAGAACCAGGGGTGGACTGACCATTTGGAAACTCGGGCACTGCCCGAGGGCCCAGGGTCAGTAGGGGGCCCCATGAGATGTCCCTGGTGCCTTTTTCATAGGTTTTTTTTTTTTTTTTTGGGCAGGGACACAGGGGCCCCATGATCCCTTATTGCCCGGGGGCCCCATGAGTTGTCAGTCCGCCCCTGCCGAGAACCCATCGGAGGATAATTGCAGCTGGGCATAGAGATGAGTGAAGGAAAGATGGCCTCCAGTCATCTCTATGGCCTAGGAGGACCGGAGTGACATCATTATGTCACTTCCGGTTTAGGCCTAATGTAAAAAAGTCAATTTTTTTTAAAGCATTAGATTCATGTTTTTGTTTTTTTTATCTAATGCTTTACATTGTAGAGGAGAGATGTGGGGTCTTATTGACCCCAGATCTCTCCATAAAGAGGACCTGTCACTGCTTATTTCTGTCAAGGGATGTTTACATTCCTTGTGATAGGAATAAATGTGATTCATCTTTTTTTTTAAAGGGACAGTGTAAAAATTTTTAAAAAGTAATAAAATAAATAATAATAAAAAAGCGCCCCCCGTCCCCCTGTGCTCGCGCTCAGTGTTGAACGCCTACGTATGTCACAGCCATGTATGTAAACTGTATTCAAACCACATATGTGAGGTATATCTGCAAACGTCAGAATGAGTGCAATAATTCTAGCACTAGATCTCCTCTTTAACTCTAAACTAGTAACCTGTAGAAATTTTTAAAGCGTCACCTATGGGGATTTTTAAGTACTGTTGTTTGGCACCATTCTATGAGCGTGCTCAATTCTAAAACATGACATGTTGGGTATCTATTTACTCCTCGTAACATCATCTTTCATATTTTACAAAAAAAAGACTTAGTTATATATTTTGTTTTATTTTTTTTTTTAATTCATTTAAGTGTATTTAATCCAATAAAATGCATTTGAAAAATCACTGTGCAAATGCCTGTGAAGGAAGTGGTTAAAGTCTCTCACCTTTTTATATTTTTTATAATTCTGTACTTTTCTTCAAGTTTTCTTGGATAATTCCTTTTTTTTAATTAAATATAGACTGATGCTGGGTGTGCAGAAGAATGCATGTTCCACTGGAAAGAAAGATAATGGACCATGTATGAAGCAATGATCAAATCTTTAATACGTGTAGCTAGCTTTGGACAAGTTTTATTTTTTACCTAGAAAAGAATGTCCATTCTTGCACTCTCTTTAAAAATGCTATAGATATTTGATAAGTCTTTATAGGTTATACAAAAACTGGTATGCCATTTTGTTCTGTAACTGGTTCCCAGTAAACATCTGTATATTATACAATAATATCTGCTTTGCAGTATAATTGCAGGGGGACAGGTTGTATTAGAGCCCCTTGTATGAAGTAATCTCTCCAAGGAGTCTGGACATTTTTAGGTGACACGTCTGTATATGGGCTGCAAGCCAGATACCTCCATATAGTACAACAAGTAATACATCATTCCCTATCATATTGGTGCTTAAGTCTCCTTTGAGATTTTGTTAGACATTATTGCAATTCATATAATTGTACTCTGCATTGAGTGAGCCATTACATAGATAACGTAGGTATTTAAAAACATAATTATCTTGATAGATGCCAAACACAATCTCAGGTATATTGTTTATTATAAAACACATGTGCGTATCATGATATGATTTCTATATGGTCACCTAAGCCTAGGGCATAACCTTGGTGGGTGAAGGGCCGTACAGCTGTAACAAGGACCAGATGTTATAAGGCTCTACCATGGGAAGGAGAGAACCACTCAGCAAAACCCAGGTTGCAGAGAACTGGGCAGAGTTGTGGTGATTAGATATTTGTTGCGTATTGCTGTTTCACTTCTCTTGGCTCTGTGGATCCTATGACCCCCATTTGCAATTAGGGCAGAATATAAAAGGTATAGTGAATACTGTAATCCCCTGCACTTTCTGCAATGTAATCAAAGCAGGATCTCTTTTGGAGTCTTGCACTAGATGTTCAGGGGCTATGAAAGTGTGGGATCCTCAAGTGAACAAGTAAAGGGTCAAGGGGTTAACCCTTCATTATATGTTGGAGAATTGCAAATATCCAACAGGTAGATTGCAAATGTCTGCACAGTGAAGAGAATCCTAGCATAGCATATGTGGAGCTTATTTGCCCATAGTCGTGACTACTTTACTCTACACACTGCAAAGCAGCACTTCTCTTATCTTCACATCTCTTTTATTTCCTGCTATCTTCCAGTTTTTTCACATTTTATAAAAATAATTACAATACAGCACCAGGGGCGGACTGACAGCTCATGGGGCCCCCGGGCAATAGGGGATCATGGGGCCCCTGTGTCCTTGCCCAAACTCAAAAAAGCCTATGAAAAAGGTACCAGGGGCATCTCATGGGGCCCCCTACTGACCCCAGGCCCACAGGCAGTACCTGAGTTTCCAAATGGTCAGTCCGCCCCTGTACAGCACTCTACAGAAACCAGGCTAATGTTTCTTTACTAGTCATACATTCAAACACATGCGTCATTTAAATTGGTTGCCAACCCACCATAATAGACCAGAAATGGACATGAAACATTTTTATCAACAAGGATATCACAATCTATAGTAGTGCAATACCGAATGTTGTGTGCTGCAGTGCATGTGGTTTCCCTTGTGTTGGAGTGCAGTTAAAATGAAAAGGCACTCCAGTACACATACGTTATTATTGTGCCTTAATGTGTTTTGCAGTAATGTGCAGTACAACAATGCATAGGTGTGGATGGGCTCTGAAAACACAAGTCCAGCCCAAACTAACAAGATAGAATTGAACAACTCATTAGGAGATTAGAAAAAAAACCCAGATTTTTCTGCAATGTTCAGCTTTCCACTGCGGTAATTTTATTTTCTGCTGTTAGAGATCTGTATAGCTGCCCCTGTAGCAGCGGCTGGTATTTTGCCCAGGCCTTTCCCCAAATCTTCACCCGCAGACAAGCACACAGCCAGGTGTACACAACTTTCACTCATTACTCCAATGATCAGTCTAGGGGATGTTGTTTTTGTAGTAGTGTTATAGAGAACTGGAATAGGGATGGGGAATTTGGTAGGATACTCCAAGAATAGAACTAATTACAGTTGAGGACACTATCTGATCATAGTCAAGCTTTACGTGAAGTCATCGCTGAAGCAGGTAAAAGACTTCTCCTTTGCAGCAGCAGTAACAGTAATTTCAGGTTAGAGCAAAGTCCCTTGCAGTAAAGAGTAAATGGACAGAGCTCTTCAGAACACTAGCTAGTGTTCCCTTGTCTGGACCCTTAGCAGACTCTATAGCACCATGAGGGGGTTAAAAATACAAGTCTATAGATCCTTTAGGTTGTCTGTACTCATAAAATGTTGAGGGACAGCTGGTTGCCGTCTTCCAACTTCCAAGTGACACTCTATACAGTACCAGTGATATCAGACCAGATCTTCAATAGATAGCCCTCTGAGCCAGCTCTCTGTAGAACCAGGGCCACTCCCTCTGACTTTAGGCCCTCAGGTCACCCACCTGAGGCCACATGGCAGCAACTGCTGGGGGAGGCAAGTTTGCCTTGACCCTGGTGTGGAAAGACACTGAGCCCCATGCTCACAGAATATGAATACCAGCTTCTAGCATGCAATGGAACCACCCTCCCCTATAATTGGCCAGTGCTGATTTCATATGCATGCTGTTCATATACTTAGTTTCCACCTATGCTCTGGAAAGCTCTCATGGCTTCCAGAAACCAGGAGGAGCTCAAGGCAAACTCAAACAGCACCTGAGCAGCATGAGCAGTCCTGACTAATAGACTACAGTACTCTGTTAT